ATATGTTATTAGAAACTCTCTAAAAAATGCAAAATCATGGACCCACTAGTAGTGTTTAACTTTTGGCTGCTTTAGACAAGTGCAGAGTTTTTGTGTGGTGGCTGTATATGTTATTAGAAACTCTCTAAAAAATACAAAATCATGGACCCACTAGTAGTGTTTAACTTTTGGCTGGTTTAGACAAGTGCAGAGTTTTTGTGTGGTGTCTGTATATGTTATTAGAAACTCTCTAAAAAATACAAAATCATGGACCCACAAGTAGTGTTTAACCCTTGGCTGCTTTAGACAAGTGCAGAGTTTTTGTGTGTGGTGTCTGTATATGTTATTAGAAACTCTCTAAAAAATACAAAATCATGGATCCACTAGTAGTGTTTAACCCTTGACTGCTTTAGACAAGTGCGGAGTTTTGGTGTGGTGGCTGTATATGTTATTAGAAACTCTCTAAAAAATACAAAATTGTGGACCCACAAGTAGTGTTTAACCCTTGACTGCTTTAGACAAGTGTGGAGTTTTTGTGTGTTGTCTGTATATGTTATTAGAAACTCTCTAAAAAATACAAAATCATGGACCCACAAGTAGTGTTTAACCCTTGGTTGCTATAGACAAGTGCAGAGTTTTGTGTGGTGTTGGAAAAGTTGGTTAGAAACTCTCTAAAAAATACAAAATCATGGACCCACTAGTAGTGTTTAACCCTTGACTGCTTTAGACAAGTGCAGAGTTTTGGCGAGCTGTATACAGCACCCTTGCTTTCAACTGCCAGAGGCAGACTTCACCTTACACGGTGAATCAGCAGTCAATGCGTTAAACAGCTGATGGGATACGGATTTCATCAGTAATTCTAGGGTTAGTCAATTTTGTGTGATAATTTTTGCAAAGTTTATATGCATCACGACTCTTGATTTTTTTTTAAACAAATTCGTGTAGGACTTGAGGTAAATTTTTGTAGTTTTCTGAAAATAAAAGCAATTAAAAATCATTTATTTTTTATTTAAAAAGTATCGTTTTTTAAAGTTTCTGTTGATAATAACGACGTCAGTAAAACAAAGCGGATTATATTTTGGGCTATGACTTTATTAGTTAGGAGACCCAGTATTTATTATAGCTTCATATTTTGCTATGCATAGACTATTCCTTTTTTTGTGTGAATTTTTTTTTATAAAGGAAATAAAAATTCATTGAGATTGTACTTAACAGAATGTGAAATTTTATGTGCAAAATGTACGTTTATTTTCTTGTTTATACACTGAAGTTGTAAAAGATTTTTTTTTTTTTTCATTTCTAATAGTACAAGAATTTTTTTTATTGTGAACTGCAATGTTTTTGTTTAACTTACAGGATTTAGAAGCTGCCATAAGACCAGATACGGTTTTAGTTTCAATTATGACAGTTAATAATGAAATAGGAATTAAACAGCCAATTTCTGAAATAGGTAAGCTCAAAACAACGTTTTAATGGAGAAGTTGTTGTTTGATTGCTGTACCGTTTACTTAATACTTGGTGCGATAAGAAGTATTTCGTGTATACGTTATTTTGAACTTATTATTTTTCATTATTTTCTTTCAACTTGTGTTAGTCCCACAGTGGTACATATAGAACAAGTAGTTGTTTAATTATGTGTTTTATTTAACACGAATAAGAATCGGTCTGTTTGAAAACATCATAAACATTCATATGATTTGGTTTGTAATGACAAAATTAAGTAATTACATAGTTTGCAAAGTGGTTTTCAAACAAGTGACCAATCTGCCATTGTTACGAAGTTCAGTTATCAGATGCAAATTTTAAAACCCTAAATTCTTTAAGGTTAGTAGGGAAGAAGTACAGTTACTAAAACTTGTAAGACCATGTCCTGTTATAGACAATTTTTGTTTTATGCACTAGTTAATCATAATTTATTACTGTCAAACTTAAGCAGTTGATATGTGTATTTTAAAAAGACTGAAAATATATCGTAGGTTAGTATTTAATATTTAATGTTTTGCTGATCCTTACTGTTCAAATACTTTTGTTAACTTCAAAAAACAGGAAGAATAGGTTAGTATTGAATATTTAATGTTTTGCTGATCCTTACTGTTCAAATACTTTTGTTAACTTCAAAAAACAGGAAGAATAGGTTAGTATTGAATATTTAATGTTTTTCTGATCCTTACTGTTCAAATACTTTTGTTAACTTCAAAAAACAAGAAGAATAGGTTAGTATTGAATATTTAATGTTTAATAAAAGTATTTGAACAGTAAGGATCAGTTAACTTCAAAAAACAGGAAGAATAGGTTAGTATTTAATGTTTAATGTTTTGCTGATCCTTACTGTTCAAATACTTTTGTTAACTTCAAAAAACAGGAAGAATTTGCCGAGCGAAGAAGGTATTCTTCCATACAGATGCAGCTCAGGCAGTTGGCAAGATTCCTCTTGATGTCAATGAAATGAACATTGATTTAATGTCAATCAGTGGACATAAGATATATGGACCAAAAGGTAATTTTTTCCACTGTTAGAATTGCCTTTTTTTTATATATACGTGAAGGTATGATCAAAATGTTGATATTTACCATAATATGGTAATTAAGGAAATATTGAGAAAAATTATTAGATTTTAAAAGTAAGAAAATCTGGGGGAAGGAATAAAAAATGATATTTATAAAACTTAAAAAATCACCTGATTAATGGCAAGTTCCCTTTATAGGTATTGGAGCACTTTACATTCGTCGTAGACCACGTGTACGCGTTGAGCCACTGCAGAGCGGTGGTGGGCAGGAACGAGGAATGCGCAGTGGAACAGTACCAACTCCTCTGGTAGTTGGGCTTGGTGCTGCCTGTCATGTAGCTCACAAGGAAATGAGTGTAAGTTTTAAATGGAGTTTTTATTTTGTAGTTGCTGTTTGATACCATTGTTTGTCTAAAATCTCTTGTTACTGTCTTTTCCTAATCAGTACGACCATGCAAGACTAGAACACATTTCAAGGAGACTAGTGGATAAAATAATGGCCGAGCTGCCTGATGTCATAAGGAATGGTGACCCTGAACACAGTTATCCAGGTACTTTACCTAATTAAACAGTGTGTGTATATACCTGCATCCATGCCATGATTAAAGTGGTTTCTCATCTAGAGAGCTTTGTATTATGTACTCAATCTAGACTAAAACTAGTAAAAGAAGTAAAATTGGCATTTTAGACTCAACATGTTTATAATTTTCTCCTTTTTCATTTTTAACCAATTACTTTTCCTGTAGCATACAAGTTTCACTGGCAATTATTCTTGCTGTAGCATTAGTTTCACTATTTATGCAGTGGAGTAGAGTAGGTTATACAGAAACTGTAAGACTAGATTTTTAATTCTTAAATTTTTTTTAAGTGTGGTAGTCCCATCGAGATTCGACAGTGTCATTGGCAATGATTACATTGTCCAGTTAGACCATGTTTTTAGTTTTTTAAAGACCGTGGATCTTTTTTATTCTGTTTAATATTTTAACATTCTCTAAAGTAACTTTCTGTTTTTATGATTTTTTAAAATTTTATACACCTTTTACCTACCAACTACTTTATATTAAACTTGTTTAATAAAAAAGTATACCAATTATTTGATGCAAGTAGTCTCTAAGGCCAAGATACCAAACAAGCCACTCTTTGTTGTGTCACCCAGTTTTACCTATTTCATATGACTGTATCAAAGAAAAAATATATATATAGTGTTATTAATTTGTGGATAAATTGTGTTTTTCTATGAAGTAATGTATTCTCGTTTTAAATGTAGGTTGCGTGAATCTGTCATTTGCCTATGTGGAAGGAGAGAGTCTACTTATGGCATTGAAAGATGTTGCATTATCTTCAGGAAGGTAAGGAGTTGCGTGTAATTTATTCTTTTTTTGTTGTCTATGTCAGCAATTCCCAAACATTTGTCAACTATACCTTCCTTCATTAAATATTTGTTGTAGTAATTACTTATTATTTTAATTAATAAAAATATATTAGTATGCTTAATTTTGAATTATTACACTATTGACTTTACCCTAACTACTACTACCCCCCCCCCCCCCCGTTAGTGCAAGGGCTACCTATACTATCTGTTCCTAATTTTTGAATTGATATACTGGGGGTAAGGCAGCTAGTAATTGCACCATCCACCGACTCTTAAACTACTCTTGTCCAATTACGATTAGTGAGTCTTACACCCTTACATAACACGCCCCTGGTGGTATAAAGATACTATTGATAAACCTGCAGATCTACAGTGTATCAAGCTGACTACTGGGCTATGTTAATCTCTTACTGAAAATAAGACAGACTTGAACTAAGTTAATTTATTTTTAAGAAGAAGATGCAGTAAAAGATGTTTGGATTGTTAATAAAATTTGTATTGTTTTGTGATCTTGCAGTTAGGAATTTTGCAAAAAACAGTTCATTGTCTAATTTTATTTGGTTTTATGTTTATTTATTTCTTTGTAGTTTATATCTAGCATGCAATTGTCATGTGATAAAAGGTCCCTGTGACAAGAAACTAGTGAAGGGTTTAAGTTTGCCTGTTAGTTAAGCACTTTAAGTTCATACACTTATTGGTGTACTGTTGTAAAAAAGGCACGTGAGAAGGTTTTATTGACTTAATATAATAAATGTTGAAATTGAGTCATGTAAGCTAGTTTGCATTCCGATAAGAAAGGTGCTTTCTTATCCTAGTGCTTGCACGTCAGCTTCTTTGGAGCCGTCATATGTATTAAGAGCTATTGGAGCAGATGAAGATCTGGCACATTCATCCATCAGGTGAGGATAATAATCTTTTCAACAAATTATTTTTGCCATTTCAGTGTTCACAAATAAAAATTCTGATTTTAATTTGTTTAGTCCTATTGGTCTTTTAGCGGAAAGCTACACAAAGGAACATTTTACGCTCTGTCAACCAAAGAGGATTGAACCCTGGAGTTTAATGTTGTAAAACCTTTAAAGAGTGGTTAAAAAAAAGGAATAAACTATATATATTACTATAATGATTAATAGACACGATTTATGGCTTGCTAACACTGATAAAAAATATTGACGTAAACAGTTTGCTGGGAAACCTGAGGCATAAATTGTTTTTAAAATATTGACTCACGTAAAAATTGACTCATGTAAAAATTTTAAAATAATAAAAGTTTGTGCATATTTCTATTCACAATCTAATTAAAGTGGATTCCTTTATGGTGGAATCAAAATGAGCCGTTTTTTTTTCTGACTGTTTTTCATATGTTTTTAGAGGGCTTATCAATCCAACTGAGTGTGTTTAATCACAAGATTTCAAAATGTTCACCTTTTTATAATCATCTCCTTTCCTGCAGCCCCCCAGTGGCACAGCGGTATGTCTGCGGACTTACAATGCTAGAAACCGGGTTTTGATACCCGTGGTGGGCAGAGCACAGATAGCTCTTGTGCATAATTAAAAAACAAACAAACCTTTCCTGCAAAAAATTTTATAATTGAATGTTTTAATTAAATAACGTATTATTTCATACCAAAATCCTTGATTGAGAGATTTAGTAACACTACTTAGTTTTGTGAAGTTATTGGATTAAGGGTGTTTTTGTAACTCTTACTATTGTGGAGGAATATGAAAAGATAGTAATGTTGTACCAGTCTGAAAATGTGAGTTCAATTCATTAAGGCTCATTTTAGTTAAAATGAGAGGGAAAGTCAATATTATTTTTAACCTTTATGTAACCTTATTCATTACTGTTGCCAGTTCTTAGTTCAGTTACATGGTGTCTTCTCCCCTTACGTCCACACGTTGGGTAGCATTAAACACATCTACATTTGTTCGGCATGACTGAGTGATGTGTTGCTACTGTTACTTTAGAGTGAGTGTTATAAACCACCCAGTGAATAATGTGATAAGACATTATCAGTTTCATTGGATAGTGTAACTTCTAACGTATACGACTGGCTCTACTGAGCAAGTGAAGTTGCATTATTATTGGCTGATTTGGTCATCTCATGCATCACATGGGCTAAAATGTCTAGATGAGGGACTTTAAAGGTTAGATGTAGTAATCCCTAGAAGAAGGTCAACCAACCAGTAGTACTTACCACCTCACAACTAGTCTTAACGAAATAGCAGAATTGACTATTGTGGTTATAACGTTCTTAGGGCTGAAAAACAGTGTGTGATCAGTAACGTATCATGGTTCAAACTTTGGATCTTCCAACCCACATCCTGGCAGGATAGCCTGTTGGCCCACATTGGCAGATATATAGACTGTACATAAAAATTAGCCTAAATTTTTCACTGGTTACATTTTGCATATTATACAGTTACATAACAACATAAGATATTCACATTTTGAAAGGTGATGAAAGGATGGATTTTGACAACCATGTTTAAACAATATCTTGTTTTAATATTTATCACATCTTGTAATGATAAACAACAAACTTAAGTTGTTTAATAGATGCCACTCACATTCATAAAAAAAAAAAAAATGGATACAAAACACGAAAAATTATTCTAAACCTGGGGAAAATTGTACAAGTGGGCTTATGTAGGATTCACTACACCTGGGAAAATCAGTTCATCTCTGAAAAAAATACCCTATGGCAGTTTCATTACAGGGAAAACAAATTCCACAAGACATAATAACTTTAGTCACTGCTTGTAAGCAAAGTTCCTGTCCATTTTAAACCTGTAATGTCATCATTTTAATTTTTCTCCTAGATTTGGTTTTGGAAGATATACAACTGAAGAAGAAGTAGATTACACTGCTGAGAAATGTATTCAACATGTTAAGAGGCTCCGAGAAATGAGGTATGCTAGTGAAGACTCGTGTTAAAATCCTCCCATAAAGAATTTCCAAGTACTGTTCATGTTAAACTTTTGTTATTTTCATCATCTAAATGTCTCAAGATGATCATTTGGCTTCGTTATTTCTAAAAGATTGGTACTTTATTATCAACTTTCAAGCTACCTTATGATCCCTTTGTTTTGAGAAATAAGGTATGCTCCTGAAGACTTGTGTTAAAATCCTCCCATAAAGAATTTCCAAGTACTGTTCATGTTAAACTTTTGTTATTTTCATCATCTAAATTTCTCAAGATGATCATTTGGCTTTGTTATTTCTAAAAGATTGGTACTTTATTATCAACTTTCAAGCTACCTTATGATCCCTTTGTTGTGAGAAATGAGGTATGCTCCTGAAGACTTGTGTTAAAATCCTCCCATAAAGAATTTTCAAGTACTGTTCATGTTAAACTTTTGTTATTTTCATCATCTAAATGTCTCAAGACGATCATTTGGCTTTGTTATTTCTAAAAGATTGGTACTTTATTATCAACTTTCAAGCTACCTTATGATCCCTTTGTTTTGTCTCCTGTCAGGTTTCCATATTATTAGAAACCTTTGTTTTGTTTAAGATGCTATGAAATATTATTTTATTACTAATCTACTCTCTGTTCTGTTGTTATAAGAGAAAGATATGAAGGACCACGTAATACAACTTTCAAATTCACTTATGATTCCTCTGTTTCGTCTCTCGACAGATTGCCATATTATTAAACCTGTTCTTTGTTCTGTCTATTAAGAGTTGAAAGACCACTTTCAAACTCTTTAAATGTGAAGACTGAATTTGTCTGTAACTTTTTCGGTTTCAATTTTTAATCTAAACACAATTATTTATCTTGTCCACGTTATATGTATAGGTAATAATCTGCCTGTAACTTTTTCGGTTTCAATTTTTAATCTAAACACAATTATTTATCTTGTCCACATTATATGTATAGGTAATAATCTGCCTGTAACTTTT